TAAGTGACAGAAACGTTGTGCGGAAAACATTTCACTGTTTTTGCTCGAATGTGATGAATTTATTTCATAACAAAAAATGTAATACCTAAAAACCCTAGTGTTGAAGACATCAAATGTCAAAATCAACAATATATCAACATCAACTCGGGAAAGGTTGTAAAAGATAGAGAACCTGCATCCTATGCATAAGGGAGAACAAATAGAAGATGGAGAAGGTAAATATTGTAAAAGATGTAGGCAAAAGTGCCATTTCACCACTTTCTTGGAGCTTGACCTTGCATTTGTTAAACTTCCCTCTGTTAATAACTGTACACATATATATACCATTCTGGCATCGAAACCACTCTGCAATCTATTAACAGCTAATTCTGTACACCCACCATTTTGACATCGATACCACTCTGTAATCTAGCTCATTTCTTACATCCACTATTCTGATATCGACATCACCAATCTACAATCTATTAATAGCCAATACCAACACTAATCTACAATATTAACACATAATTCTTTACAATAACCGTTCTGTTATCAACATTTAATTATTTACAATGACCGTTCTGACATCAACACCACTTTACAATATATTGACAACTATTTACAACGTAGGCTATAAGTGGCCTAGTGACTATTCTGGGGTTCAAAAAGTGATGCCACTGAACTTTCACCTGTGAGTGAATTATAAAAGTGATAATCAACCCTTTTATTTGGTCAAAGACGTGGATTCCAGGGAAGGTTCTGTCTATAATTTACCTTCTCTAGGGTCCAAACATCCACACACATCGTTGCCGTGCGTGGCAACCTGTGAAATGGAGGAGAAAATTCTGGAGATTATGTAATGTTTGAACACTGCTACACACCTCTTTGTCCTTGAATTTCTGTAAATGGGTGAACTATGTGACTAGAGTCAACTGAGTACCGGATGTCTTCAGATGTCTTGTGCTGGTGTTTGGTTATAGTGCACACGGAGCCTTGTAGTGGCTACACTGTTTGAGAGTGTGATATGTACTCTTGTAAGACTCCATGGTGGGTGGAGTCAGTGGGTACCGAATACCTTTCATTTCTCATAAATGGTCAAAATAATAAAAACAAGAAATAATCATTGGTGAATGTCGTGGATTGAGTACTCTGCCAACATACAGCCACCATCTCCATTTGCTTTTATACCTCCTTTTTTTGATCTTGCACTAAAAGCCTTTATCCAAGATGTTGCCTTTATTTATTCAAAAGGGCTGAGAGAAACTCGCACACTTACTGAAGTTGGTGAAAACATTACAGTTTGGAAATCTGTTAGTCTAAACATCTTGACCACATGGTAGAGAACTCTTTTTGAGGTCCAAGTGTATTTGGGATATACCTATTAAGGTTATCCCCATATTATTTTGAATTCCTCCACGTCAGAGCTGCTCATTGGTCTTTTCAGTCAAGGAATGTTAGCAGTGAGGCTTGTCTCCATTCGTAAAAATGGAATATCTGAGCTGAATACGGTTTAGATTTTGATGTTTAATACCCCTGCCATCTTGCCAGTGTTAATGCAGGATATCTGAACTGTACAGTATGGCCATATATTTTCAACTCTCTCTCCGTTGTTCTCACTGTCAGCTGTTTGGACACTCGCAATAATCTTGCCATGGTAAGTTAACTTGTGCTTATTATGGTGTTAAAGACTACAATAGTAATGAGTATCAGGTGCAGTCGCACTGTGTCAATTGCTCTGGTTCCCATCCCTCATATTCTAGATCATGTACAAAAATGGATTGAGGAGAAGGAGGTACAGCAAATTAAAACCTTAAACAATACCTCTTATCCTGAGGATCGGAAGATGAATCCTCTTCCAAAATGGAAGTATGCTTCTGCATTCTGTTCCACTGTCGTGGTGGAAGTGCAGACAGATCTCTCTCTTTCTTTGATCGAGTCTCCCTCTCATCCTATTAAGGGTCCTCTGCCTCCCATGGATAGATTAGTAGACAAGTCAACAGCTACTCTAACCTCCGTCCCCACTACTGACAACAATGAATGCTCCAGTCCCTCTCAATTGGCCCTGATATGCAGAACCATTACACAATCACGATTTCACTCACAGGACTCACGTTCATCAGACAGGGATCTGCAGTATTAATCCAGGGCAGGATTCATGGAGGTTGATAGACCTCTCGCAAATAAAAAATAAGTTAAACAAAAAAACCGGCTATCTACCCAGTTATTCTATACCTTCTAGGTAGAAATGGCCGCTATTTTTTACAGTGTAACTATCGAGGTTTCCACTCTAATTCAGATGACATTAAGACCTTCATCAATTTTCACCATTTAGTGTGTATCTCCTTACAGGGGGCGTTCCTGAGAACTACTAATACTGTTGCCACTTGTTACTTTTCCTTGTACAGGAATTACAGGTTATGTGATAGATGGGTTCATGCAGGTGTCATGCTGCTGGATGACCGATATGTACCCTCCATGTCTGCACCACTCATTACACCATTGTAGATTGTTGCCATCCATGTCTCCACTGGTAGTACCATCGCAATTTGTTTTCTTTACCTGTTACTGGTAGAAGATTTAAATTATGCAGGCATTGATGATCTTATTGAGAAGTTGCCATTGTTTTTATTTATCCTTGGAGATTTTAATTGACACAATCCCTACTGGTTTGATGTGCTGAGGTAATAGGAGAGGTTGAGCTGTGGATTGTATGATCTCAGGCCACAACCTATCTCTCTCTTTAATACTAGATCCTTTACTTATTTTCATCGAACAAGTCAGTCCCTCGAGACTTGGCTAAAACTCGGTCTCTTGAATTGAAAACATGGCCACTTTTCGACGTTTGGGAAGTCTTCCACTCCACTCATTTGCAACTTCAAAACCATTTTGCCTGCTTGCTTGTAGTTACGCACACAGCAACACAATGAACTATATGTATCGAAACCCCGTTTTTAGCGCTATAAGCATTCAGACTTACTGCTGAGCCACAGAGTAGGGGTTTGAAAAAACTTCCAAATTTATTTCGTAGAGTAGAATTTTACTTTAGATAGAGAACATACTTATAGGTTGGCATTCAGGATATAAGTGTACCTTTTTTAAATCATTCGTACTTAAAGAAGTGTTTTTTTAAAGTATTACAAATAATTTAATATGCTTTGTGGCATAAATATAAATATATGACCATTGTTAAAAGTCTTCTTCCTCTGCTTCACAATATTTCATAGTGGATAGCTTCATTTTCGTTCTGTAAGATAATGCTGAATAAAATCACATTTCAATGCTACAAGGTAGTTGGAATTACTTCTCCAGCTAAATGTTTACCCTGGCATAAAAACCGCTGATTGAGAAGTTCAGAATCACGCCTTTGTGTGATTGGTCCTTTGTTATTTCTAACTTTAATTATTATAAGATATATATAATCTCTCTTTACTATTGATAATTTCAACCTGAAAGGCCCCTCATGTAGCACGTGAGCTAAACGGCCAGGTAAGGGACCTCTAAGGCTCAAGTATAGCCATTATCTAATCTACAACTATTCATCAGAGAAAACCAATCAGCAGCTCCCACCGTTTAGTACTCGACTATTATAAACCGAATAAACTATAGCCATAATCTAATGTACAACTATTCACCAGAGAAAACCAGTCAACAGCTCCCACCGTTTATTACTTGACTATTATAAACCGAATAAAGATATTTATTGGGACAGTTATAACGCCCCCACAACTGAAAATGGATAGCGTAATCTTCAATATATCGCAGCTCGAATCTCGGGCCATCCGTTCTGCATACAGACATGATAATCATTAGACTACACATGGACCATTTATCCCATGTAACTATAAAATTTCAGCGTTTTTGGATACTTAAGTATACTTGAATTATTACATTGTTAATTATCTTGGATATCTTTGATTTTCCTTATTATTGGGTAACTTTTATATACGAAAATAGATGGATTATTCAAGTTTCGTCAGTGGATATCGCTAATATAACTAAAGTTTTAGAGTGAATGGATATCCCTGATACCTTAAAGTTTCAGCGTGAATGTATATCGCTAATATAAGGAAAGTTTTATTGTGGATGGATATCCCTGATATACCTACTTCTCAGTCATATAAACAAAAGATTCAGGGTTGTTAGATATCCCTGAGATATCTAATTTTCTGTTGTTTTTTTTTATATGAGATATTCAGTTTTGTGGAGTAACTCCAATATATTCAATTCTCGATCTTTAAAAAAATTCAGAATTATTTGACATTCCAGATATACAAAGTGTTAGCTTTCTATACCAAGAACCTGTTTATATACTGTGCTATGCCATTAATATGATTATGCAATGTTGGGTTATTCCAAGGTTAACTAATGTTATGTTAATTCCAGAGTTATATATATATATATAGGCTATGTTACTCCTAGTAGCCCTTCGGTGGCTAAGCGGTAGGTTGGAAGACTTCGATATTCGCGATTGGTAGAGCACAGTTGTCCCATTGTGTAGCTTTGTGCTTTACAACAAACAAACGTCATTTAGGAATTTGGAAACTAAAAGTAACAATTCCTGAATAATTTCGGTTTCTAATCAACCAAGAAATAGCAAGACGTTGTAAGGGGGAATGTATTATTATTATTTCATAGAAACCTTTGTATTATTCGTGTAATATTCAAATATTTTAAAAGTCTTATATCTACTGTGGAAACGTTGATAAACAAGCGAGTCCATTGATGAATACACAGACATAATTGTTAGTGGCGGCATCTAGCAAATGTTATAGTAATATAATTTTTAAATGATAGCTATTTTTTCAACTAGCACAGACAAAAGTCAGTTTTATGTGTAACTAAACCATCAGATAAAAATGCATCAAACAGTTTAAAAATATATGTGGTATTCGGGCAACACGAAAAAATAGAAATATTTATAATTAAATAGGTTTTTCTTTCTTTTACGAACGTAGTTTCAATGTAAATCTTGATTGACATCTTTTTCATATATTTCTATTAAAATGATATATTTATTATAGGAAATATTTTACGCTTGAAGATGTTTCGAGAAGAACGGGGTACGTGGATGATAATGTTTCTCACTGTCGTCATCTTCATTTATATCTTCTCTCTGGTTTACAACGCCTTCCTTTTGTCCAGTTACCATGATCCAGAACCCTACAGAATCACTGGAAAGATGGGTATTACAAACATGAGCTTCATGAAGGTTGCAGCGTCGGGCACTTGGTTAGGAGACTTTTTTACTGCTTGGATGGTGCGTCAAAAGTAGTTATTTCTCTCAGTTATTTCTCAGTGTTCTGTTTCTGTGAACGTTTATCCATATCTTCCTGTTACATTACACGAAGTATTTTATTACCGGTTTAAGAGTTGTGAAGATTGCTTCACAATATATTTTTGCAAACACCTTCAACAATCAAATTTGGAGTGTTCTTTTAGCAAGCCAAACAATTAAAATTTGCATTTCATACTTCGTTTTTTAAAATACTAATCCTAAATTTGCAACTTAACCAGGCTAAGGTTGAGAAAAATATGGTGTTGATAACACCCGGAAATGTTTCGAATTTACCAAACTATTCTGAAGTAATAGATTTTGGTTTACACTCTGTGAAGAACACATGTTTAGTAATATTTTTTCTCTGAGGAGTTATTTAACATTCTTTATCCTTCTTTTGACCGATATTTTCCATTATCTGGCCAAAAGTCGTTTTTTATGTGTTATTTGCTGTTGTAATACGTAGAAAAGGAATGTAACATTGGAATCATCAGAAGATGACTTTATGCCTCCTATGTATTAAAATAAGAATGAATGTCAGTCAGTCCCTGCATTGGAAACGCAATATTTCTATTGGCTAATTGTACAGTGATACTTTAACGTTCATACGAGAGCAACAATGAGCGACATTTAACCTGCATTGTTTTATCGAGTGCAAAACTACGGCGTGTATAACATTAACTTTAAAGACAATTACTTCATTAACATAAACAAACACGTAAGGAAACACATTCAGTTTATTTTTTGCCTTTCCGTGGCTTATAAATAACGCAATGCCATTGCATATCAATACAAATTCAAATAGATGCTTAAGAAGCGACAATTAGGCCTAAAGTTTAAATACGCTTAGTATACGAAGCACGAGTTTACCCGTTATACAATCTACGGTAATGAGTCTTAACAATCACTTTCACAACTTCATTCATTTTCGATGCACTTTAGCTAACACATTGCGCGAAAGAAAATAATTACAAGTTTCAGATGATAAACAAACACAATTTAGACACATACCCACAAGAAATTTACAAAAAATTAAATTAAATTAAAAACGCGTATTGCACTTGATTTTTACACTTTTTGATTCCATAATTTTAAAAATTCACTATTTTAAAACTATTATACGCTTCAAAGTATCCCAATACAGGCACCTAAAAATCGATAATTAGGCCTAAAGTTTAAATACACTTCGTACGCGAAGAACGAGTTTACCTGCTACAAGAATATAATATTACACCATTTACGTTATTGGTGGTAGTAGACCCGTAGCTTTGTTAATATTTTAATGGAGAGTAAAAAGAAAAAGAAAAAGGAGTTGATACCATTATGGAAGGAAAGAGAAAAAGAAGTCAAATAGCGAGAAACGAAGACGTCGCTTTATCAACAATTCGGTCAAGCAAAAATCTCAGGATTTTAGTCAAAGATGGCGATTATCCAGAAAGACAAGATGTTTGTACATAAAATGTGGTATACAGATATACACTCCGTTTATAGTCATTCCACGTTTTTTACACATTTTTATTTTAAGTTTAAATACAACAAATCCTTATTCTGCTTATCAGATTTTTGTTTTATTCATGTCCAACCGTATAATACAACAGCATCATTATTTAATATATATATATAGACACGTACATAGTATTCCGTTAATAATATTGTGCTTTGGCTCATATGGCACAACACACGATTCGTATGCGGGAAATGGGGGGATTCAATCCCATCTATATTCATTTTTTTTAATTTTCTTGCTAAACAATGTACCAGTAGTCAATTAATTTTAGTATATACATCGTACGCGAAGCACGGGTTTATTCCCGAGTCAATTAATTATAACAGCAAAGTGAAATATGTTTCAAGTGCATTAAAATATGGATTTCACCACGATGGGATATCCGTTTAAAAAACATGGAGAAAAAAAGGAGAGAAAGATAGTTTCAAAAATAAAAATAATGATAATACTATTTTTAAAAAAAGGAAGCGAAAAGAAGAAAGCTTCTTCTACTTCTTCAAAACAAAAGCTGTGGTCGTATTGGATCTTGAAGATAGTGATTCAAATGTTAATTTTGAAACTTTTACTTCATTGGCGGCCAATAATGCTAAGTCTAATGACAGTGAACGGAATTTTGGGGTGAACACCTAAGACTAATGAGTATGTTCTTTACACCCAAGCAGGCATGTTTTACCCAATTTTTTTTCGAAATCCAACAACAACAAAAAGGCAGGGTATTGGGTTTGTAGAACAAAAAGGGGGGGGGGGTTGTTGTGGTTTGTTTTGAATTTTGCGCAAAGCTACACGAGAGCTATCTGCTCTAGCCGTCCCTAATTTAGCAATGATAAATTAGAAAGAAGTCAACACCACCCATCGCCAACTCTTAAGTTACTCATTTACCAGCGAAGAGTAGGATTGACCATCACATTATAATGCCCACATGGATGAAAAGGCGATCATGTTCGGTGTGACGGAGACTTGAGCCGGTGACCCGCAGATTTCGTTAATTCGCAAATTCGTGGTTACATATAAAGTACAAGACATTCTAGATATGATAACAAGAGAATTTTGTCTAATTTACTGGTTACTTTCTCACCTTACGTCTTGTCCTTTACAGGGAATAAAAGTCGCACTTTCTTGGGTAGATGAGGTGTTTTTGACTAACAAGATTCTAAAACAAACGGGCACTGCTCCCCTCCTCCCAGTGGCTGAGCTGTAAGCTTAAAGGATTATAATATTAAAATTCGGGTTTCGATCTCTATGGTGGAAACAAAAATTAGCATATTATATATACAGCTTTGTGCTAAAGAAAAAAAAAGATTCCTTAATAATGTTCTTTCTGTAGGTTATCGAGATAAAAATCGAACGTGGTAGTGGCCAGATTTTATTTCTTTTATACACTATAAATGCGATTGATTAGATTCGTGTTATTGTTTCTAAACATACTGGACAACGCAATCAACGGTTGTTTACTAAGAAAGCCCACTTTTCCAGATTTTACGCACTAACGTCTTTGCGTTTATGCAAACTAAAAAGAAAAGAAAATTTCCGATAAATATAAAAATACCATATCTATGTAAATTGGGTAGAGTGTTTCAATGCTGATTCTCCATTGTTACTTCAGTAATTTCCTTCTAAACTTAAAATACAGCTTCAGATAACGGCAATCCTTACCTTCGGAATCTATCTTCAGTATGTCTCCCGGTAGAACATCGGAACGTCATCGGACTTACGATGCTAATATCCGATGTTCTATTTGTCGTGGTGGACACAGCAGATAGCCCAATGTGGCCTTGCTCTAAAACAAGCTAATTCTTGCCCTTAGAAGAAGTTTCATAGTTAATTGTCACCTTAAGAACCTACTTTATAAATAATTTGCCATTATTTTTGAAATCTACCTTTAGACGCTGCTTGTTGTTATCTTTAGAATCTACTTTCAAACACTGTCAGTCCTTATATTTGGAAGATACCTTCAGATATTCCTAGTCCTCTCGTTAAAAACCTTCCATCAGATATTGTTAGTCCTTACTGTCAGAATCTTCCATCAGATATTGTCAGTTAGAATTACATTACCTTCAGATTCTTCCAACAGATATTGTCAGTCCTTATCTTTAGATTATTCCATCAGATATTGTTAGTCATTACCTTTAGAGTCTTCCATCAGATATTGTTAGTTCTTACCTTTAGATTATTCCAACAGATATTGTCAGTCCTTACCTTTAGAGTCTTTTATCAGGTATTGTTAGTCCTTACCTTTAGAGTCTTCCATCAGACATTGTTAGTACTTACCTTTAGATTATTCCATCAGATATTGTTAGTACTTACCTTTAGATTATTCCATCAGATATTGTTAGTTCTTACCTTTAGATTCTTCCATCAGATATTGTCAGTTAGAATTACATTACCTTTAGATTCTTCCAACAGATATTGTCAGTTAGAATTACATTACCTTCAGATTCTTCCAACAGATATTGTCAGTCCTTACCTTTAGATTCTTCCAACAGATATTGTCAGTCCTTACCTTTAGATTCTTCCATCAGGTATTGTTATTTCTTATCTTTAGATTATTCCATCAGATATTGTTAGTCATTACCTTTAGAGTCTTCCATCAGACATTGTTAGTCATTACCTTTAGAGCCTTCCATCAGATATTGTTAGTCCTTACCTTTAGAGTCTTCCATCATATATTGTTAGTCCTTACCTTTAGAGTCTTCCATCAGATATTGTTAGTCCTTACCTTTAGATTATTCTATCAGATATTGTTAGTCCTTAGCTTTAGATTCTTCCATCAGGTGTCGTTAGTCCTTACCATTAGATCTTCCATCAGATATTGTTAGTCCTT